AAACATAGCTCACATATCTTAGTTTTAGTATAACCTCTAATCAAATTTAAGTTAATTCCAACTTTTACAGCAATCTCTTTGTTTATTTAGTGATTTCAAGATAGTGTCATTTCTTCAAATGCTAACTTATATGGCTTTCACACTTTTAATTCATGTCCATGTTAATTTCAATTTTATTGACCAAAATATCATGATTAATTACCTTTACTTTAGTTCAAAGCAAATTTAATTTTCTAATTCTATAATAACTTAGTTTAATCAGCCAGTAGTTCCTTAAATTTTGGATTTTTAAACTTTTAGTTCACAAAGATGTTTTAAAGTTTTTAGAGCTATTCAAAATAGATTAGTAACTTATTTTATAAGAAGGCATTTATAGGAAAGCATTCCTTCTTTCTGCAAATTGTCAAAAAGGTTCAAAACTCCACTTTACAACCAATATTCTTCCAGGCATCCAAACAAAAGTTGACTACTTAGAAGGAGAGTCATTCGAAAATCCTACTTCTTATTTTATAGCAAAGCAAGTCGCACTACTAACAAGTTGACCATTTCGGTCATGGCGGAAGTATGCTGCACATGTGCCAATGAAGATTTTTTAGGTTACAGATTGCAATTAAATTTTCATCAAAAATTGAGTGATTTTTTTATTAAAAAATTAATGATCTCTTTTTCTTTGGTTTTAGTTTTGAATTAAGTGAATTTTATAAAATTCCATAATGAATAAAATATTTGATTTTCTTATAACATTGAGAAAATTAATTGATTTCGCAAAATGAAATTTTGTAGGGGTATATTCTAGATAACTTAACTTTAATCAAACTTAGGAGGTATTAGTTTTCTGGTATATTTAAATTGGTCCAATGATACTGTGATTTAAAAAAAAAAAAAACTTTTATTAACTAATTTTTTTGTTGGGTGGATAACTTTATAAATTAATTGCCTACCTAAAAAAATAACCATCTAACAACAAATAACAAAAACTAAATTCAATAACAGAAGTAAAACCAATGAAATCATCTCTAAAAGTCTAATGTTACCATAAATCAATAATCAAGATATAATAATACAAAAAAAAAAAAGGAATAATGATAAAAGAGATAGATTTTAAGGGACTAAAATTTAGCACTAATTTTGTTTTTTTGGTAACCCCATAGAAAAATTTATTCTAACACATGTTTCCACATTGACAAAATTCAAACTCAAAAATTTTGTTTAAGGAGAATCAAATTTCTTCTACTTAAACCAATAACTCGTCAATAAAATTTTGATACTAATGATGTGACATAATTCACGTTATTTAAAATATTAAATTGTAAATTTTATATTATTTAATAATTGATTTTTTTATTTTATTAAAACTTGTAATGTTATATATATTAACTTATTCAATAACATGACTTATGACATATCATTAATTTCAAAATTTCATACTCTATATCATTACTCGCATAAAAAAGATAAAATAATGTAGGGTTTGATCAAATTGATCATGAGGGCATGTAGAGGACGAGGACCAAACTCGAAATGCCTCCCAACAATAAGGACAAGGCAGAGCTCAATGCTCTGCCACAGTTGCATGGCGATTACAAC